AAAAAACATTGTCCTTTACCTTTAATTATTTATTCATTAGATTTGCAGCCCAACTTTCTCCTCAATGAAACTCAGTTTTTAAAGGTAACCAAAGCAAAAACTGACCAATTTTTTTTTCTCATGCAGAAAATAAAGAGCTCCTTTGAGTAGCTGGAATGAGATTTCTGGTGGCTGTTGCAAATTTTAGGATTACACAAGCAAGGATTTTCTCAGTTTTATCTATGTTGGGGTTTAATTTTGGAGAGTTCCTTGTGATAGAGAGATAGGGCTATAATCTATGGCTCTTCAGATATTGTCAGATTGCATCTCCTTGACCTCCCAGCATTGGCTATACTGTCTATGGTGGACCTTTCAGTCCAAAACATATGGAGAGCAAAATGATCTTCACTTCAAATGCATGAGGTTAGACTGGGCAAGGGGAGTTGTAAAACTAAAGCTCTACCTTAGGAAAATACACACATACTCACCCTTTACTAAGTTTTAAAACAACCATCAGACAAATATATTAAAATAAAAGTAACAAAATTAGCTGCCAAATATTCAAAAACAGGCCCACTCCAGTCCAGAATATGAGAATGGCAGTCACATCTATCTTCTCTGTCCTGCAGCCTGTGGGTCCTACAACTCCCACAAATCCCAGCCAATTTACAAGCTGTTAGGATTTCTGAAAGTTGAAGGCCAAAACATCTGGGGACTCATACGTTGAGGACCACTGCTACTGGCTTCGTATGGTGCAAGCCTTTTTGTCTCATCCACCCTACAGACTGTTGTATATGAAAAGCAATCTGACAAGAAAAGATTAATCTCTCTCCTTTGATTACAAGTTTAAGCAACATACATACAAACCAAAGGTCCTCTTGCAGCCTAACCCTATTGTTTATTTACAGTATTTATGCCTTGTATCTCTTTTGCTTGCTTACAGTTCCATCGTAGTGGGGAGCAGTTTTAAAGGCTGCTACTTCTTTAGTATGTGAAGATCATCACGCATCTTATATTAAAGCAGATTTGTGCTCCAGAAGCCTTCCGGTAGTGGGAATCAGTTGTAATACAAGGCACATGCTCCCCACGTGCCTTGTTCTTAATACAAGTATGTGCCAGGGGGAGCTCCTTCTGTTGCATCAGCAGCATAGTAGCAATGTGAAAGAAAATAGCATTCACAACAAAAATTCACAAGTGGTTTAGTCTGGCCACTTGTATCTGAAGCCAGGTTTATTACTCCTACTTCTGGGAAACTTGCCTCACTTTAGTGTTAGATCAACAACTTCTACTTTAGAATTTTGTTTCTCTATAAATACTTACAACCTACCTTTCTGTACTCTGATTTCCATGTGTATATGTGTCTTCAAGTTGCCTGCTGACTTATGGCGACCCCATGAATTTCATAGGCAGTGTGTGGGTGGGTGAGTGTGTATTTGAAATATTTTTTTATTAATTATACAGTAAACAAATCTATGAATAAACTGTAAACAATCTGTATGCTATAAATATAAACACACCATATATAGTAAATCAGTACCGTACTAATGTTCTTTTAGCACCACCAACTTAGTCATCCCAGTTCTCATCATCTTCATTGTCTACTCATATTATTCTTAGCTGCGGATACCTGAATTAATGTTGATGTAAAATGAGCACATATTCTGTATTTATCTAGAAGTCCTATATTTTGTGGTATTATATTCTTATATAAAACTAAATTTATTAGCCTTTTTGAGTCACCTTCTCGGGAGATAAAGTGGGGTATAAATACTTATTATTATATTATTTGATTGTTCCTGACTCTCCTCCAGGTTAACACATTCAAAAAGTTGTGGTTCCGTCACATTTCCCAGCTCATATCTCATATCTATCTATATCAAATATACATATCCTCCTGATTATTCTATTCAGTGTTGTTTGTCTTGTTAATATTGTTCCTTTCACCATTCCTAATCATTTATCATAAAATTGTTATATATTTTGCAAGGGTGGAGTCTAGTGCTTCTGATATCTACAACATTATGTCTTTTAAATGTAAGTATATTGTTCACCTCTTAGTGAGGTTGGAACTGACAAGCACTCTTCTCACAAATCTTTAAGAAATGGCTCCTGTTCTCCTTTACATGGTTTGCACATTCAGCTTATTATTACTTTTAGTTAGAGATATAACCTCGCCCCAGTTATGTTTTCCTGGAATTAAGTGTCAGTAAAGTAAGTTTTCTTCTAACTAATGGTATTTTGGATTGTAGTAGATTTGAATTATACTTCTTTAGAAACAATTAAACAGAAATTGGTTAGTGTAACATAAAACTGGGCTGCAGTGGTGCAGTGCCATATATGCCAGGTTGTCCAGGAGTACTTTACACTGAATACACTGAAGCCCTTTCCACACAGCTGAAAAAAACCCACATTATCTGCTTTGAACTGTAATATATGGCATCGTGGACTCAGATAACCCAGTTCAAAGCAGATATTGTGGGATTTTCTGCCTTGAAATTCTGGGCTCTATGGCTGTGTGGGAGGGCTCTGAGAAACATGCATAAGATTATTAGTTTTGCACCATAACTAACTATCTAAGTTTTCCCCTCATTAATTCATTTTTTTCTTGTAAAGATGCTAGAAGTGCCATTGTATCAGGTTACCGCAGTGTATTCTCCCATTATCCTCTGTCTAATCTGTTGCGCTCCTCCCTTAATGAGATTGAAGCCTTCTTTTAAAGCAGCTATGTAGGAATAGCAGCATAGCTGCTTTGTGATTCGGGCTGTGACGTAATAAGAGAGCGTAGTTACCCAAAGGTGTTTAGTGTAGCCCAGCAAGTATTTATTGAAACATGTGCCCAGTCAGCTGAGTTGGATTTTGAAGCAGCTATGAAGTACCCCCTGGTCCCTTTAATCAATGACTTAACATTTCCTGTCCTTTTCTTTTGGTTTTGCTTGCCTTTTGGGATATTACTGATCCTGTTGATTTTCTGGTTTCAGCGTCTTCTAAATGAAGGTAAGCCTTGCTGCATGATAGCTAGGATGGGCTTGTGTATTAAGGTATTAGTTTTCTTTTTAAAGCCATTGTGGTGTAGAACTATTTTTAGCTTCACGCTGATCATCTTGGAGTGAAGCTCAATACTCTTCCTATGTGCAGTTAGGCATTTAAAACAGTTTGATAGTTAATGTGTTATAGTGCTTTTAAAAAAAAAACCCAGGTGTTATGTCATACTATACCTTCATACAATTCTTGCAAAAGAATCCTTAATACTAGGAATGTTCTTAAAACAGGGTTGAATGAATGAATTTTATTATACAATCACAGGCTAGGAGTTTAAAACATTAAAACCAAGGTTTTTTAAAAACATTAAAATCAGAAGTTCAAGAGGAAAGTTCAGAATATGCAACCATCTTAATTTGCTTCATAAATGACACTTAATTAAAACAGTTAAACAAACAATTTTACTGTTCCCCTCCTGAGCAAGTTATATAAACCCCAGACTAATGAGTGTACGATGTCACCAAAAAATCCCATACATTTCTCTTCCCTTACCCTGGTAATTAAAAAACAGTAACATTAATGATATATTTAATATCTAATAACTCTCTCTCTTTAATGAAGCCACAAACCATTTTATGAAGACAACTTAATAGTAAAGTCAGGCCTGTATGAAATGAGCTGTACAGTTTAGTATGACGCAATTAATTTGATACCTGTATCAATAAATCTATTTATTAAAAAATGAATGTATGAGGATAGATTCTCTGTATACAGCTTGAGAAAAAAAAAAGCTTTGCTTACATTTCCAGAGACAGAATCCTTCAATTTGTTTCATAGTATCTTCATTTCACACCTAATTGCAGCTTTGTCCATGTCTTCAGAAAACATAATGCAAACATATATGTAGTCTCTTGAGTTCCTGAACTGTGTAGAGCATAGGAGTTAGAAGCAAACACTATGGGTGCTTCTACACTGTAGGATTAATGCAGTTTGACACCACTTTAACGGCCATGAGTCAGTACTATGGAATCATGGGAGTTTGGTTTTAAAAGATCTTTAGCCTTCTCTGTTAAAGAGTGCTGGTGCCTAAACAAACTATAAATCCCAGGATTTTGTAGAACTCAACCATGGCATGTTATACCTGAAACAGATGTCCATTCTAGAACGAAGACAGTACCATCTAGCTCGAAGTTGTTTCAAGGTTTAAAGTGTCAAAATCAGAAGAATTGGCATTAAAGAAGTGTAGAGATTGGCAGAGGCATCCCTCTTCTGACTGTCTTAGTCCTCTGACAGAGGGAAAACCCAAAGGTATTTGAGATACCTCACATTTTTTGTATTTGTTCTCTCCTCCTGTATAGGCTAACCATTTTTAATGTTGTGTGCTGCATAAGAATGCATTGCTCCTTTCTATTCCATTTATTCTGCTTTCTGTTTCATGTTGTTGTCTTTTAAAAAATGTGTTAGTGTTTGTTTAAAGACATCCTTGAAATTGCAAAATCACATGAAGAATAGGTAATGTTCTGGCTGTTCTAGGGCTTTATCTCTACTTTTTCTCCTCATTAGCTATGGTGACTGTTTCATTTATTTGGTTTGTTGCATGTGTATCCTGCTTTTCTTTCAACCATTGTAAGGCAGTATATATGACTATATATATACAGTCATATATACTGCCTTACAATGGTTACTGTAAGGCAGTATATAGTGTAAGGCAGTATATATGACTATATATACTGCCTTACACTATATACTGCCTTACAGTAACCATTGTAAGGCAGTATATATGACTGTATATACTGCCCCACTTTATCCTCATTACACCCCTGAGAGAGAATGACCGAATTAAGCTCTCTGTGAGTCTTATGGCTCATTAGGGACTTGACCTGGATCTCTCAAGTCCCAGTCTTGACACTAACTACTACATCATACCAGCTTTCCAGGACGAACAGTGGTACTGCAGTCCAACAGGATCTGGAGGGCCATATCCTAGTCTATATTATCAGCAGGAAGGTATTTCTGTAATTTGCATAATTAATATAATGGAGGAGGGATGCTGTTCTTTAAGTATGTACCAACGAGGGAACATTAAGTTATTTTTTGTCAATTGCTGGGCTTCTTTCTTTATTGTCCTCTTCATGCAGATCTCCTGAAATGGAGAATCTGTCTGCACTGTAGAATTAATGCAGTTTGACAGCACCTTAGCTGCCATGGCTCAATGCTATGGAATCTTGGGATTTGTAGTTTGGGGAGGCACTAACACTATTTGGCAGAGAAGGCTAAAGATCTTGTAAAACCACAACTCCCATGGTTCCATAGTACTGAGCCATGGCAGTTAAAGAGGTGTCAAAGTGCAGTGTTGGTGCACCAAAAGATTGCTTGGAACTCATGGTGAGGGTTAGATGCTCTGGGTGAATGTCTACTAAAAAGATGCATTTGTAGTCAAATCATAACAAACTGGAATGCCTATTAGTTACTAACTACATAAGCTTATAAACATGTCAAAAGGTTTCACTTTTAGATGCACTTTAAGGAAGATGTGTTGCTGTTTCAATGAGATTCAATGAGAGGAATGGCAAAAACTAATAAGATGAATTGCTTATGAACATCTTCAGTTGACATTCAAAGGGGCAAGCGTCTCATTTTTAAAAATTGTTGCATCTCTGAGATCAAAACTTGACATTTACATTTCATGAAATAGTCAGATTCAGCAATTGCAGCTTCTGAACCCCAGCTAAAAGATATCTAGCTCCAGTCTAGCATTTTGCTCTTACATGTTGCTTTGCCCAAAAAAAATTATCCACTCCTTTTACCTTTTTTTCTTCAGATCCAGGACTTATCGTTAAAAAGATAGAGATGCCACCATCTGATAATACTGATGGAAACACTGACTTCCAAACTGAAAGTGAACCCAAAGGAAATAACAGCCAAAGCAACACTCAGAAAAGAGCCTCAAAAAGTGGCCTGAGGATGACGCCACCTGTGAAAACAATAGGATCCAAACCTGCCTATCTGAGTTCCAAAGAAGGAGTCCAGGAGAAAGGTCTAGCTGCTATAATTTCAGAAAAACTGGACCAGTCTATAAAACAGTACTGCTCTGAGAAAAACTCCTTGTATAACACATCAATGGTAAGTAGAATTGGCTGAGTGCTGGAATGCCTTATGCCAATTTGCTCTCCAGTTTACCTAGATTTTAGCCAATTAATATTTTTCCTCATAAAGGAACAATAGATGTGGAACCTGTTTCTTTACTTCTTTTTGTGAGTTTTTGGCACTGTATTTCATTGGGTGAGGTATTGCTGTTGGTTAACTTGAAGGAATTATTGTATTTAAAAGTTTTTGATACAAGATGGGATTATGTAATTATCAAGTCATATTCTTAGAAGCAAGCTATGCTTTAGAAGTGTGCACTGGTGATTTCTTATTGTTGGAAATGGAGGAGAAATAGAATCATAATGCAGCACTTGTTAGGGATGTCATACAAAAGTCTCACCTTTTACTTATTTCAACTTTACAAACGACATGATTAAAATACTAACATATTTTGTTATGCTTCCATCCTGTTTCCTTGAACTAGAAATGTGTAACATTGCTCCCTTGTCCCTCTTCCAAAGAGATTAAGAGTGAGTTGAAGATGCTGCCCAAGCAGCATCTTCTTTAACTCAGACAGAAATAACATATAGTACAGATGAACAGAAAAACAGAATATTGTTAAAAGGAGTTGGTATAATTGGGAGATATTTGGAAATTACATCACCTCCAGTCCATACACCCTGAGTCCCCAGAAGGAGCTTCACGTGCCATTCCGGATGTCCAGTGTGCATAGATTCATCCAGACCCCCCCCCCCCCATTGTGACAGATGGAACAAAGTATATAGCATTGTACAATATAGAATGGACATCCAATACATACAAGCAAAGAAGGGTTAGACAGATCATTCCACACATGTGGCAGCTGCTGTTACCCTCATAAACCACAGGAGACGACCTGAGTGAAAACTGGTGGTGTTCACTCAGTCCCCTGATCCACAAAAGCCAGGCATGCCAAGTCATGTAGACAAATTATTCTGGAAGTATTTAGTGAAGCTAAAGAAGACGACCAAAATCTAGCCAACATCTAAATTCTAATATTTATAAAATCAAAGCCTTCAGGTCACCAACCCCTTGAGTTTGCAAGATGTAAGCAGGACTGTTAGTAATGGAGTGTCTTGGGAATCTCTTATACATTGGACTGATATAACTCAAAGATGAATCGATGGTAATTAATAACAAAATAACAATCTCAAGATTAATCACATGGAAATTGTTTTTCAGTTTTGTTGGACTAACTGGAATGATTTTGTGAATAATGATCATTGTTGAATTTGTATGAATGTTGATTAAAAAAATGAGAGGCACATATAATTCTAAAGAGTATTTCTTATGGAGATGTTGTTCTTTCTTAGCTGCTGTGTGTTCTGCTGATCTCTCTCCTCTTCAGCCTTCTCTGCCAGTTGCTTGAGATCTCCAAGGTTCTGCGAATACAGCTCCTGCCTACGTCTCTGTTTATCCGCATCTATCGAATCTTTGCCTGGGTGGGTGAAAAGCCTGTGAACATCATGACATCCCTGAAGCAAGGAATATTTGCTCTGTTACCTTCCATCCTGCGTAAAAAAGAGAAAAAGGACTTCTGGGACGAATAATATGTGTGAGGAAAATTAAAATGCACCAAACAAAGGAAAAGTAATGCATTATCGCAACAATCACTTACTTGTCAGGGGATTACTGCAGTGTGTTTCATTGCCATTATTTCAGGTTGGCAGGTTTAGGCAGTGGCAGGTTGCATATAATATTTCAGATTTGTCCATGTCACAAGGAAGTGGTGGAAACAAAATCTTAAAATTGCAATCTTATTCTTTGTTCCAGGTAAATGTATCAAAACATACTGTTCTATTACATACATGGACAAGCTGTAAACTTTCAGGTATTGTTGGACTGTACCTCCCAGCATTCCTCATCATAGACAATGTTAGCTCAGGTTGCTGGAACTTTTTCAGTCAAACTTCTTTACCTACCTCTTTTCTGTGAAAACAAAGAGGCTTTATAGTCATGCAGCCTAACAATTACCTTTACTACTTTGAGTAAAGAGTATTCTTAATTAACACATACCTTACAACAATTAAGACAGTAAGTTTCTACTATTAATATAATGTTAGCTTTTTCAAAGTGCATTAGTGAAGAAAGGCTATCACATTGAATATTCTGTCTTTTAGATCAATGTGTCTCCAGTCTTTAAATCCAAGAGTACTTATAGCAGCTTCCTCTTCCGCCTATTTCCAATAAAGAGCTTATGGCAAAGCAGTATTATGTCTGTATTGACATTAATGTTGTTAGTTTTAACCACAAATAGCAAATATAGGTTGAGCACTCATTGAATTCCAAAATCCTCCACATGGATGGGTAAGACAGTGACATCTTTGTTTTATCCTTAATGTACTCAAGTGTTGTTTCATGCAAAAATTCAAAATTCTCACATAGAATTACCTTGAGGCTATATATAAGTTGTTTCTGAAACATAAATACATTCCAAGATAGTTCATTATAAGTATGTAAATATTCAAAATCTGAAAAATTCAACATATGGCATATGGTACTTCTGGTATCAAGTATTTTGGATAAGGGATACTTAACCTGTAATGTCTAAAGTGAGCTTCCCAATTAGAGTTAATGTTAAAACTGTGTGCAGATACGATGGATTATAGCTGTGACAAGACAATGTCTGTGTACAGGCTTCCCTTCTCTTCCAAACAATTGAGAAAATAGAAACAATATATCAACACAACATTGAAATACTCTTTTGAATGTTGAATTGTGATGGCTTATAGTGATGGCTCTTATTTCCTGTGTGCTATTAATTATTTCTCAGTTTTTAAGTCAGGAAAAGCAGTAGTCCATAATATATTATGATTAATATGAAAGATTTCAGTTTTAGATACTACCTCATTAAATTTGTTGTGCTAAGTATATAAAAAGCTATAGTTGTAGCCTAACAGTTATCAGTGAAACATTTTAAACTGTCCTTCAAAGCCTTCTGAATATCTAGCGATGCTGTATAGAATCGACTTTAAAAGTTATGATGGACTATGACTGCTATAAATGTATTGAAAAGCTATTTTTGAGGTTTGCACTAGACATTAAAAATGTATTTTCCTGGATTCCTTTTCATTCAGCTATACTCTTTGATGTCTTCAGTGCCAGTTCTTGAGCAGTTGTGTTCTAATTTCAGTTTTAATTACTATATCTGCTCTGGTGTTTGTTTGGGTTTTTAGAGCTTTTTTTAGTACTTTGTGTATCAGTATCCTTCAATCCCAAATTGTTTGAGTTTCAAGTTAGTATTCCCTTAGTTTCAAAGGATCAGATGCAAACATGAAAACTAAATAATTTTACTAAGGCATGCCCTTCCATGGCTTTGGATAACACCCCTGTGCCATTTTGCTTTGCTGTCTGTGTCCCTGTTCAGAAGATTTCACCTCACTTTCTGCCCCTGTGATAATTGGATTTTGAAAAAAAAATTGCCTAGTGTGGAAACAAGGATTGGTGATAAAGTTTCAGTGGAGACCCCCTGCCCCCATAACTCTTTCAGAAGTGAATTTCCCTTCTGATGGGTAGACTTCTCTCACTTCCTGTTGTCTTAGCCCCGTTTGTATGCCAAATGTTTGTAACCCGGGGACTGCATGTATAGGGAAGTTTATGCCACATAAAAATCTGATATGCCTTTTATGACTTCTTATGGATTTGGCAGCAATGGATCACATACCCAACAAGTATAACTCTATGATTCTCCTTTAATTGCCATGGCTACAACAAGCAGAATCATGGACTTTGTAATTTGGTGAGATATGACAGCTCTATGGCTATGCTCCTCCCTAATCTGCAAATCTCAGAATGCCATACAATGTTTCTGTGGCCATTACATTGTATCATAGCACTATAATTATGTAGTATGGAAAGGACCTAATAAGGCTATGCATCCTGGGAAATCCCTACATTAAAAACGAAATTATTGTTTATTACTCAGATATTTGCTGCACTCCTTTGTAGAAGCAGATATGGGGCTCAGAAAAGATAGTTTTTCCCCCCTTTACTTGAGAAATCCTGGGTAACAAGTCAACATTACCAATTAATAAACTTTGTTTTGCTTGCTGTTATTGTGTGCCTTCAAGTCATTTCAAGTTGACCCTAAGGCCATGTTTCCAATGGTCTCTTTACATTCCAGTTCTATAGCAACTAGAGAAACGCACAAAATTAGCCAGGAAAAGTTAATAAAAATTATGTGGATAGGTAGCAACACCTCACCTATGCTGTGTTTGCTTGGGGGTGGACTTGGAAAATTTACTTTTTGGAATACCTCACTGCAGGATTCTGGGAAATGTACTCCAAAAAGTAATTTTACCCAAGTAAGCATGTCATACATGAAAATCTATAGTACAAAGTTCAAACAAAACATACATATATGTGAGTATGGAGACTGGCTTGCAAGTCATTACGGATTTTGTGTGCTTGCAAACTGTAAAACCTTGAATACAAATGAATAGTAATGTATGTGCATGTCCCTTCAATCTGCCTGCAGACTAATGGCATGAATTCTCTTAGCATTTTCTTAGCCAAGGAATACATAGATGTAGTTCTGGTAGTTTGTTCTTCTGAAATATAGCCCTTAGCACCTGATAGTCATTGGTAGTCTCTGATCCAAATATTATCCAGAGCTGACTCTGCTTAGTTTCAAAAATCAGAATTGATCTGGTGCCTTTAAAGTACTTGGGCAAGTAAAGCAGTTATCAGTGCAACTACCATGAAGTTGGTAACAAAAGTAATCAATGACATAAAGTATTATACAATTGTTTAAAGTATAAAATAAATATGCCAGTAATGCCCACTTGGATACCTGCCCAAACAACAATTTGATTTTATCAGAGGGTGTATCTACACCAGTGGTTCCCAACCTTTTTTTTTTTTTTTTACCAGGGACCACTCTCGAACATTAATACCAAAAGGATTACGAATCAGTTTTTGGTCAACTTTAGATTCAGTTTGATTATTTGGGGTTCCGATTCAAAAATTTGCATTGGATAGACCACATCAACTCTAGTTTCTGGTACAGAACATATGCTGTCCAATAGTCACCTACAGAAAACCGTATTTAATATTTTAGAGCTGATGTGGTCTATCCAATGCAATATTCTGAATCAACACCCCAAATAACCCAAGGAACAGGCCTAAAAACGAAGACACCAAGGCGCCCTGCTTCCAGGCACCACATGGAATGGTTCCGCTCAGGGGAAGGGAGGAGAAGGAAGAGGAGAAGCAGCAGCCGGGAGGCTCGTTGCACATTTTGTGAGTAGTCGGTCTCTCCTCTCCTGACACCCCCATTACCTTGGCACTATAAGAGGGTTTTGTGAGACCAGTTGCACTAGATGCCATGATGTAGTAGTGGTGAGGCCGTGGACCACATTTTAGTTCTTGGGGACCACTGGTGGTTCACAGACCACAGTTTGGGAACCACAGATCTACACCATAGAATTAATGCCACTTGACAGTCTATGGAATCCTGGGATGTGTAGTTTTTTGAGACACCAGCGCTCTTTGGCAAAGAAGGTTAAGGATCTCATCAAACTACAACTCGCATGAATTCATAGCATTGAGCTATCACTGTTAAAAATGCTGTCAAACTGTATTAATTCTACAATGTTGCCATGCTCTTAGTCTACAGGGGAGGAAAGGTCCTCTTGCTGTTGAGTGCATACACTGGGCTCATTTTGCAGCAAATGAAAAATGGCAGAATAAAAAGGGGAAGTGGGTGTAGAGAAACTGGGACATTTTAAAACTGATTCAAAAAGTGGGACAACAGTGGATTAATCAAGACTTGCCAAGTCAGTGGCAGTATATGGCAAAGAAATAAGAAAATAATGATTTTGAAGGAATCTCAAGATGGCTATAACTTCAATGGATCCCTCCAGGCAGCAATCAGCCAGACTTTGAAGCTACATGGCCATTAAATGCTAATCATATGGCCAATTGCAACCTTCACACTTGCCTAAGCAGACAAGAATTCTTTCTCCCACCCTGGACATTCCACAGATATATAAACCCCACTTGCCTTATTTCCAACAGACTTCACAACCTCTGAGGATGCCTGCCATTGATGTGGGTGAAACGTCAGGAGAGAATGCTTCTGGGATATGGCCATACAGCCCGGAAAACTTACAACAACCCATTTAGCTTTTCTGCTTAAGAGTTCTGGTGCCTCACCAAACTACAAACTACAAACCCCAGGATGCTTGGACCATGACAGTTAAAGTCGTGGCAGACTGCGTTAATTAATTGTTTCTACTGTTTTTAGAAGGCTTATATTATATGTTAATGTTTTTAATTCTATTTTATGTTGTTGGGGGCATTGATTTCCGACTGTAGACCACCTTGAGTCGCCTTCGGGCTGAGAAAGGTGGTATACAAATATGGTAAATAAGTAAAATAAACTAATTCAACCGTGTAGATCAGTGTTTCTCAATCTGGGGGTCGGGACCCCTGGAGGGATTGCGAGGGGGTGTCAGAGGGGTCACCAAAGACCACAAGAAAACACAGCATTTTCTGTTGGTCATGGAGGTTCAGTGTGGGAAGTTTGGCCCAATTCAATTGTTGGCAGGGTTCAGAATGCTCTTTGATTGTAGGTGAACTATCGTGTCATCCGCAACCAGAACATTGTATTACATTTCTAACAGAACAAGACAAACAAACAGATAAAATAAAATTAAAAAAAACCCACAAATTTTGCAAACTTGGTAGCTGATTAAATGTCCTTTGGCCAGTATCTGGCCACTTGGAGTGCCTCTGGTGTTGCTGCAAGGAGGTCCTCCATCGTGCATGTGGCAGGGCTCAGGCTGCATTGCAGCAGGTGTTCAGTGGTTTGCTCTTCTCCACACTCGCATGTCGTGGATTCAACTTTGTAGCCCCATTTCCAGCAACTACAACTCCCAAATGTCAAGGTCTATTTTCTCCAAACCCCACTAGTGTTTACATTTGGGCATATTGAGAATTCGTGCCAAGTTTGGTCCAGATCCATCATTGTTTGAGTTTACAGTGCTCTCTGGATGTAGGTGAACTACAACTCCCAAAACTCAAGGTCAATGCCCACCAAACCCTTCCAGTATTTTCTCCTGGCCGTAGGAGTTCCGTGTGCCAAGTTTGATTCAATTCCATCGTTGATGGAGTTCAGAATGCTCTTTGATTGTAGGTGAACTATAAATCCCAGCAACTACAACTCCCACAGGACAAAATCAATAACCTCCCCCAATCCCACCATAATTTAAATCTGGGTGTATTGGGTCTTTGTGCCAAATTTGGTCCAGTGTATGAAAATACATCCTGCATATCAGATATTTACATTACTATTCATAACAGCAGCAAAATGAGAGTTGTGAAGTGGCAATGAAACTAATTTTATGGTT